CGTCATCTCTGGAAGGCTGACCACATGCAGAATGGGTCCATAGTTTCCCTGGTGACAATCAGAGAAGCTCTCACTTGCTGCTGAGCTCAAAGGACTGCTTGGAAGGTCTGCAGTTATTGAACAGATATCTTTTGATGCAAACACACAGTGATGGGCTGAGCAAGGTTAAGTGCTCACACAGCTTATTTGTGAACGGCTCAGTGCCATGGTTTGCTAACTACCTGAATTGCTCCCGAAACTGTACTAACCTGTGCAATATGGGTTTTTGCTGTCTGCTTAAAACTTTTGTGCTTCCCATTACTTATGCTGATTTTCTTCTAAATCAACCATGCCAGGGCTGTCACACAGGGCAGTCTGTGTGGCTGGTTTTCATGTCTTCCAGGTAGAAGCCAAGAGCTTTTTACTGCAAAAGTCAAGGCAGCTGCTTGGTAGTGGGACTTCAGTAGCTGTTTTAAAGGCATTGCACACAAACCAACGTGAGCCATGTGTAGGGTGTTATACAGAATGAGTAAAGGAGGGAATGAAGACTAAATCTGCATAAAAGGCCAAGACTAAGATTGTGAGGGAAGTGTTAACTTCATTTTCTTGCAAATCTGAATTGTAAAAAAATCTTTTGAATGTTTTCCCTTTTTAAAAAAGGTACAGTGAAATAGAGGAAATGGTAAGCTGTCCTCTCACGCTGAAAGGGTACTGTCAGTATCCTGTCTCAGTACCACACAGACATCCTCTACATGTCACAGGTATCTTTTTGTCTTTAGGGGCTAGACTTAGAAAGAAGAAAGGTGCAACACTATCCAGATGTTGCACAGGTACTTGCTGCAAAGTCAGCCAGGTGAAGGTTTAGATGTGAGAATCCTGGATTCTGCTTCAGGGTTTGAAAGAAAACAGTGAACCTGATTCTTCTGTTATGGGCCATCATCAGCTGAGGCTCTTTTCACACCCCTCCCTCCAGCTGTGCTGGTTCCTCATCCAGTGCACACTGGGGCATGAAGAGGAATCATCTCCAGTCCTCAGCAAGTCCTGACTTTATTTGCTGTCTCCTTAAGCAGCCTCTGCTAGCCTCTCTATAGTCTCTCTGCCTTCTTGACAAAAGAGGGAATAGTTTGGGCACCTTGCTGAAGATAAAATTCCCTTCCCCAAAGGTGAATTACTGTAGACTTAGTTGATAAAACCATAATGGTACCCAGTAAGCACCTGGGATATCACAGGGCAGGTTTCAAAAAGAAAACAGGCACATCTTCCTGCAAGAGGATCACACCATGTTATTGATACAGTGTGTGGTGGTGCTGGATCTTCACAAAAACAGGTTGTGAGAGTTTTGTAATGTTGGCAAATGTGCTTTTCACTAGTCTTGCAAAGGTTTCCATGACTTTGGCTGCTAAATGAAAAGTAGAATTACAAGGTTATAAAGTCAATTGACCAGAAGCAAGAACCTTGCGTGGAAGATTTCAGCTGATGACAAGCCATCACTGCTGGCAAGCCATGTCTTTAATTTTTACAAACTTAAAAAAGACTTCCAAATACTACAAAATATTAATCTAGTGTGAGCTACTGCTGTTTCTAATATGCAGATTTGTTCCTTGAATTCACTCTCGTTAAAGCTGGAGGAAATTATGAGAAAGGGATAGTGATTTTTCAGTTAGGAGCACTCATATTTATTAGCGCTCTTTTCTAAAAATAGTAATTGAGTAGGAACTTCTTCCTGTGGTTTTGTACAGAGAGAACCTCAGCACGATCATGGTTTCCTTGACAGTCATTGTAATAACTCTGCTAGACACTAACAAAGTGTAAACTGTCCCCAGGCAGTCCATTCCCTGATGTGATACGATTTTTGTTGTGTGATGCCGTTCATTACACGCTTCGCACATTGTTCGAGGTGTGTGAGAAGCATTGCTTTCATGGCTGACGATGACTCGCAGATGCAGGGCTTGGAGGTCCTCATATTCCACAGGCGTTGACATTGCTTTTTGCTTTCCAAATGAGCAAACTCGAGCGGAACACAGCTGGCTGTGTTTTAAAGACTGGAACCAATCTCAGCTCTGAACAGTTAGCAGAGGACCGATCACCACTTCTCCTTTTTGAAGGGGATAGCGTCTTCAAGCGAGGAGCTGAAGCGGTGTAAATTAAGAGACATTCAGTGTGGAGCAGCACTAGCAGGCAATGATAAAGCCTCATTTCTGGCAGCATATGCCTTTAACATTTGCAATGGAAGAAAAGCTATTTCAGTGCTAGAAGTGGTGGGTCTAGTCTGTGCAGTGGCCAGCTCTAACACGCTGATTTGTTCACTGAACTTATCTGTGCTGCCCAGGTGTTCCCTCGGCAGTTTTTTTTCCATGTCATCCTTTTGCCTCTGCGTACGTATCCATGTCACTGCTTTAAAGGGGTGCCCCTGCTTTTGTGCCAGAGCAAGCAATACTTACAACTGGACGGGGATGTCTGCATGCAAATCGCGTAGAAGTCAAACGTCGGGAACCTGAAATATTTCAGGTACGTGCCTAAGAGGTGTCAAGAGTGGTTGCAACTTTAACTGCAGAAGTCTAGAATTATTTCCCTAAATATGCAAGAACATGACATTAATAACATTCAACTGATTTAATAACGAGTTAATCCGATTCAGTTACGCCCGCTCCCTAAGTATCAGAAGC